TCTAACAAACAATGGCGAAAAGATCCCGTACCTCCTCTGCAAAGACCTCCAGACTCCTCAGCCCAATTCTGCCGCTCATCCTCAGCCGTCCACTTTCGAGAGTCAGATTGGTATATGAGGAAACAGTGAACGTAGTACCGGGGTTTAAGTAGTACCTCATATACATGAGGGCTTAAAGGTTCAAAGCATACTGGACAATCCAGAACTTCTGGCTCGGTTATGGTCACTGAAACTTGTTACTGAACGTAGCACGGGGTAAAGTAGTAGTTGAGTTGATGTAAAGTAGTTGAGTCGATGTAAAATTGCGACATGCATACGTCGCATATCATTCGCCTAATTGGTGCATAATTTATATTATAAAAGTTTTTTCGATGTAAAGTAGTTGAGTCGATGTAAAATTGCGACATACATACGTCGCATATTATTCGCAGAATTGGTACATAATTAATTATAATATTTATTTTTTGGAAAGTTCTTTGTCTGTGAATTAAATATAAATTTAAGACTACGTCGCATATCATTCGCAGAATTGGCGCATAATTAATTATAATATTTATTTTTTTGGAAATTTCATTGTCTGTGAATTAAATATAAATCTAAGACTACGTCGCATATCATTCGCCGAATTGGCGCATAATTAATTATAATATTTATTTTTTGGAAATTTCTTTGTCTGTGAATTAAATATAAATTGAAGAATACTATTAGATGAATGAACCTGCGATTATTACTTCGAAACAATTCGCATAAAAACTTCATAACACTCGTACTATAACGAATAAAATTTAATTTTTTATGTTTTTGTAAATTTTCTATTCGGCGACGTACGAAATTGTGACATACGAACGTCGCATATTAGTGCCCGAGTTGGTAAATAATTAGAAGTTTTTGAAAAATTTTTGGTCTGTGACTAAATTATTAATAAATTGAAAACTACTACTATTAGGTCAATGAACTTGCAATTATTACTCGAAACAATTCCGCATAAAAACCGCATAACACTATTACAATAACGACTAACATATATTTTTTTATGTTTGTTTTTGTAAATTTTCTATTCTGCGACGTACAAAATTGCGACATACAAACGTCGTATATTTTTGGAGAGTTGGTAAATAATAATTTTTGGAAAATTCTTGTTCTTTGACTAAATTAATAAATTAAAAAAAAAAACTATTAGGTGAAAAAAAAGCGGTGCGTAACACTATACGAAATGTGTTCGCATATTGATACATTTATGCGAGTTTTATATGGATATGCGATTCGTAACTATGCGAAAACATAACGCATAAGCGATAGTTATCTAAGCCTTATAGATTTGGATATGCGAACCGTAAATTATGCGAACATATGCCGCATAGTCGCATATTCATAAATGATGCAGTTTGGATATGCGATAATCTAATTACGCGACAGTTTTCCACATATCCTAAATGATGATGCGGTTGATTTGGCCTGGATATGCGATTAAAAAATATAAATTACTTTTATTTATTTTTTTCATTACGTTATGCGAGAACAATGCGATCATCGCACTTTGTTCACAGTTCTGCGAATTGCCTTTCAATAATATTTTTCCTTCGAATATTGTCGCTGATTTTGCTGGGAAAACTCTGTTCACGGACACTAATAGTTTAATTGTCCATGCAACATATTGTTTTGTTTTGACATATGAATCATGATTAAACAAACACGTACTTGACAGAAGAAAAAAATATTTATTATTACTGCAGTCAGTCCAACAAAATAAGCCAAACAACTTTTGATTACATGTCCAGTGAATTTTAAGGGTCGAGATCGATGACTTCCAAGTCTATCGCCGCTACGTTGCGCTAGGTAAAAACCTCGTAACACTCACCATACCAAGGGAATTCTTCCGAACAGAAAAATGCCTGAGTGTCGGTCTCCTGTGTAATAAATTTAAATCTTTTTAGGTTATTATGGCCGCGTCACAAAAATGCATGCTTGAACAAACTAAAATAAAAAAATCAGATGCAATTTACCTCCTCCCCCACATACACCCAGTACATATGGTTAACCCTAGCAAAGCCTGTATCACGACACAAGAGGACGCCTGGAATCATCAAGAAAGCAGTAAATTCATTGAAATAATTTTTGAGTCGCTGCAGCTTTCGCCGGACTTGAGAAATAGTAAACTCCCTCTTAAATGTATAACTCAGGCATTGGTTCAGGACTATTGAAATTTCTGCCCACAAGGAATTGAACACATGGCCTTTGTGTATGTTTGCCTTCTGACGACACCATTTGAAAAACACTTGGTAGCAAATACGTTCCTCCTCCTCTGTCCAGTCCATGCCACGGAAGCGGATCGCGATCTTTTCATAGGGTGAAATCCTTTCCTTTTTTTTTTCGCAAACGTGCGCCCCCTTGGTTTTTTTTTTTTTTTTTTTTTTTTTTTTTTTTTTTTTTTTTGTTTTTTTGGCTGCGATGGAAAGATTAGGTTTTGAGAAGTGAAAGGTCGCCTCTTCAACAAAGAGAATGAAAGGTTAATGAACACATTTAGCATTTAAGGCTAAGTAGATATACATCAACTCAACAACTAAATGAGGAAGCATGCAAATCGTCATTGTTTTTTAGGTGTAAAAACAGACAATCAATCAATGCGGTGCGTAACTTATGCGAACAATATGCGAAGCATTTTCGATTTGGATATGCGGTGCAGACAATCAATCAATGCGGTGCGTAACGTATGCGAATAATATGCAAAGCACTTTCGATTTGGATATGCGGTGCAGACAATCAATCAATGCGGTGCGTAACGTATGCGAATAATATGTGTAGTACTTTCGATTTTGATATGCGGTGCAGACAATCAATCAATGCGGTCCATATGGATATGCGAAAAAAATGGCGGATAGTCGTAAATTATGCGGCTTTCGATTTGGATATACGATTCGTTAATTATGCGGTTGAAGACTAGGCGAATCATCCCAGTTGTGCGATTATTATGGGATATGATATGGGAATCGCACAATCAACCCAATTGTGCGATTATTATGGGACATGTTATGCGAATCGCACAATGAACCTAATTGTGCGATTATTATGTTACATGTTATGCGAATCACACAATCAATCTAATTGTGCGATTATTATGCCTTATGTTATTCGAAACGCGCAATCAACTCACTTGTGCGATTATTATGGGACATGTGTGATGTGTGCAGGTCAACCCAATTCCAATTTCGACAATTGTACCTGGATTACGAACATTTGCTTCTCATTGACCTCTTTGTCTTCGTCGCCTGAGTCACCATTGTGCGTGTTGGTTTGGTCATCATTATTGTCATCGTCACGAGAATGACCTGGTTGGTTCGAACAACCCGAGGTTTGATCATTAGCGCCCCAAGGATATCCAATATGTGTAAATGAACTAGGGCCTGCTTGATGTGAATATGGGGCCTCGTGGGAAAATGCAGAACTACAAACACCAAAAGAACTCAGAAATACACCTTGGGACGCTATCATTTGCGTGAAGCTTTGTTGCGCCGTCCCCGGAATCCCTACATTTACTCGCTTCTCCAACTCCACGTAAATGTTTGGATTTCTTTGTTCTTCAATCAGCTCTAAGATATCCTCACTGGATTCGATTTTTATCTTCACAACTAGTTCCCTTCCATCAAATACTGCCCACAATATGTACTCAAAATTACAAGGATTGGCCTTCAATAAGGCTTGAACACGAGAAACTACTTCAGAATACATTTGTCGGCCGTAATTTATTCTCATCAGCTCTGCCACTCCACCAAGATATGAACCCTCGCAAAACGAACCACCAAAGTGCACCAATACTCTAACACGGTTGCTAGCCATTCAAATATGTGAACAACAAAAAGAACTAAAAAAAAAAACAGAAAAATGCAGTAGATGAATGGTGCAGGCGTTAAATTGTTAGAGATCGCTGTTTTTTTTGCCTGTATGATAAATGCAGAGACCAAATCCTCACATGTGAAAAAGCAGTCAATTAATGAGGTGCGCAACTTATGCGAAAGATCTGCGAACAAATTCCGAATAGTCGTAAAATTGCCAGGTCGATATGGCCCTGCCAAAAAATGGCGCATAATTGTCAAAAAAAATATGCTTTATTCGATTTGGTTATGCGATTCTTAAATATGCGAGCGAAAAAATGTCACATAATTGTTAATTATCCGGAGGATATATGCTAAATTGTTTCGCATATTAGTAAATTATGCGATTGACTTGGATATGCAATTACCAGAAAATGCATATTCAACAAACTATGCGAATTAGATGCGAAATGTTTTCGCAGTCATAAATTTGCAAGGTTGATATAGCCCTGCGATAAGAAGGCGCATAATCATCGTAAATTATGCTGCAATCGATTTGTATATGCGATTATTAAAAATGCGAAATATGTTCGCACATTTCTAAATTATGCGTTTGATGTGGATATGCGATTAAAACAATGCGAAATGTTTACGCATTGTCATAAATTATGCGGCCGATTGGATATGCGCTGATTCATTTGGACATGCAAGTGTAATATCGCATAGCATTTCGTGAGTTTTGTGATGTAAAAGAAGTTATTTGATGGGACGGTGTGTAAAAGAAAGAATAGATTTATAATAGGGTGAAAAAGATTTTGACCCTTACTTTTATATACCCACTAACAACTAACTATACATTTTTATAATTAACCCAACCAAATGAAAAATTAAGGATTCTAAAATTTTTTATATCCAAACATGGTCTGTTTACTAATTTTGAGATTGTTGTGAAGTTCAAATATTGATGTGGCTTTTGTGTCGGCTTCAGCTTTTATTATGTGCACGTGCCCTTCACGCCCCATTAGCTCAAACAGTCGAAACCTTTCCGCTCATTAATTTCCGATCCTCAGTCGTATCGCTAGACCCTGCCGCCGCTGCCGCCCGCCGTGACAAGAACCGGGGTGAAGCCTGCCCCACCAGAACAGCCACCACCTCAGCTACGACGTCTACGGAGCACATCCCTCTCCTTGCATGTGCCTCCTTTCTCTCCAATTCCCCCCTTACAATTACATTTCTCTCTCTAAAACCCTAAAACCGCACTACCCCACCCCGCCTCAACCGCCGCGCCTGGTCGTTAGAATGAAGGACCGTCCGCCGTCTTCTTACGGCGCTCTTTACGTACCTCCCCACCACCGCCTCCGCCCCGTAATCACCTCTGCCGCCAACGATTCACGCGTGACTACTTGCAGCGATGTTGATAAGAAAACCTCGTTTAGTAGCAAAACAGATAATCCCTATCCATACTTGCCTCCTCATGAATATCAGAAGCAATTTCAGCAGCATAAGTTAGTTACTCCGCATGATGAGGTGGCACAGCAAGGTTCCCATTGTGGATTCGAATTTTCGGCGCAACCTGTACGTTTTATTGCATAGTTAGGCGACCTGTATCATGGTTGTACATTTTGTTCATGACTGGATTGTCGGTTAAACTGATGATGGCAAAAGATAGAAGCACATAACTTCGAATATGGCAAAATAAGAAAGAAAAGTGAATTTAGTTGTCATATATACTATGTTCTTGTAAATTGGTTGGAGTTTGTGGCATCAAATCGTATAACTTGAAACAGAACCACTTGTGGAGATTTTCCTTTATGAGGGGACAAAAGGACGGTTAATATACAGGTGCATTCGAAACACAATGCTCGTAAATTAATGTTCCATTAGAATAGTCAGTTGACATGGTGTTATATTTTAGTTTGTACCGGTAAGCTTGTATATGTATGTGTATTTTTCGTTTTGGTAGATGGTATATTGTAAGCCTGCTTATTGTTTGTAGATGGTGCATTGTTATTAATATGATGTTAAAAGTATGCCTAAACTTATGGTCGTTCTTTTTCTTCTTTTCTCCAATGAACTGCTCTTAATAAACTTCATATTTACTATATGGTTCACCATGGATTTCAGGATGCTTCTTCTTCAGACAATATCGTGGCATGGAAGTGGAAATTAAATACCCTTTTAGGAAATCCGGAAAAACAAGAGTTAGTATCAAGAGAGAAAAATGATAGACGTGATTTTGACCAAATAGCATCTTTAGCTGCCAGGATGGGTTTGTATAGGTAACTTCTTTATTTTGTTTTCTTTTTGGGCACTCACTTTAAACTTTTGGGGTTAGCTGGTGAAAAATGTCTACTGCAGCCACCTGTATGCGAAAGTAGTTGTTGTCAGCAAAGTTCCACTGCCAAACTATCGCTTTGATCTTGATGATAAGCGTCCCCTCAGGGAGGTACTTTCCTCTAATCTTTTCCATTTTTTATATAAATAAAAGAAATTCTAGAGAAAGTCTTAGTAGTTGCCTGTGCTCGAGGAAGTTATTCATTCATATGCTCCAATGTCGGAGCAATTTTAGGTGATCTTGCATCCTGGTATCTTAAAACGTGTGGATGGTTATCTACTGGACTACATATCTGGAAAGCGTAGGAGCATAGATGTGTTCTCAAGATCAAGCAGTAGTGCCAGTATTGCTACTGAAGAAAGCCTTTTTGAGCAACCAGAGCCACTGCCACATAGTAAGGCGGCCTTGGAGAAAATTTTATGGCAACGAAGCTTGCAAATGCGTGATGAGCAACAAACTTGGCAGGTTTGGTCGCATTTAAAAAAGATTGACAGAAATGTATTATTGTACTGTTTATAAAAGTATGCTCTGTATTTTTTTTCTTCCTGCATGTGATGGATAATCTACGAAAATCTTATTTGACAGTATTTTGTGATATTGAAAATTTGATGAATCTAAATTTACTGTGAAAATACTGCTAACGAATTACAACTCATGGTGACTGCCTGGCGGGTTATAGGAACAAACTCCTAAACCTGTTTTTTCTCCTGTTTAGTCATTGGGAATTCAAGTTCTACTGGTTTGTGGTTTGCTTCATACTCCAGGACATCTCATGAAATTGATTCTTAGAATTCACGAAGAGTCATTTCTTTCCTTTAATATTCTTGTATTAGTTCAATTCTAGTCCTTCACCATCTTTAGCCACGTTGTTAAATGGTGTTTATTTAATATTGCGATCTATTCGATGTTTGTGTGAGTTTGTATATAGAAAATGGCAGTCATCTCGGAAGTCTGTATCCTGTCTTCTTATTACAGGAGTCACATGGAGGAAGAAAGATGATGGATTTCCGTAGTAATCTTCCTGCTTATAAGAAGAAGGATGCTATATTAAGTACCATTTCACAAAATCAGGTATGAGGTTCTGAGGCATATAACATTGGTGCTTCCTGCTAGGAATTCATTATAAGGAGAAAGATGACAAGTCAATTTCTTTTTTTAGACAGGGTTGTCATTCATATTGAGTTATAACATATATTTTCTTCATCTAATAGAAATTTTGTATGAGAAGTCTCATAATGGTGCTAATTATGTTGGTTCATGTAAGAAAGCTATTCTTTACTTGGCTAAGTAATACTGATCCTCACATCTGCCATTAATACAAATCTTTGTTTCATATTATTTGGTTATTTAAAGTCGTGCTCCTGAAGTGGTCTTGATGTTACTTGGATCCTGGAAAGTTTACTCACAGTACAAGATTATTTGAATCCTCTTTTAAGTTATCTGATTCTGAATTATCTGGAATATCATGCTTTATAGCTAAGAAATGAAGTTATCCATCGGCCTAACATTAAATTTATAATTTATGACCATCATAAATGGATTCATTTACCTCCATTTTCAACTAATTCTCTATGATGCTTCTGAATCTGAAGTTGTTCCTTTTCTTCTTTTTCTTTTCTTATTTATTTATTTATTTATTTATGTGAAGTAGGTCTGATTTGCTCAATTCCTTTTAACTTACTGAAAACTTGCAAGTTCTTATACTGCTTGCAAGTTGTGTAGTTGTCATATTTATGTATTCAGGTGATTGAGAAACATAATTAATACAAAAGGTTGTAGTAAATGCATGAATCACTGCAATGTAAAATTCTCCAATAAGGTGGTTTGTAATGACAGTTTATCACAAAATGAGGCTCTTCCAATTATTAGTTTGATGCTGTTAGTTTCCGGAAAATTATACTATTTAGGTTGTCATCATCTCTGGTGAAACTGGTTGCGGGAAGACTACTCAGATTCCCCAATTTATTTTAGAGTCCGAAATAGAATCTATGCGTGGGGCTATGTGCAATATTATATGCACGCAGCCTAGAAGAATATCTGCCATATCCGTGTCTGAGAGGATTGCCACAGAGAGGGGGGAGAGAATAGGGGAAACGGTGAGCCTATACAGACAAATAACGTGTGCAATAGAAATATTTTTTTCTGAAAAGTATTTGCTTACCTTGGCCATCTCTTTGCAGATTGGATATAAGGTTAGGCTAGAGGGTATGAAAGGAAGGGATACCCATCTCCTCTTCTGCACAACTGGTATACTGTTGCGCAGACTACTGGTTGATAGAAACCTTAAGGGTATAACCCATATAATAGTTGATGAAATTCACGAACGTGGGATAAATGAAGGTATCTTTGTATTGATCCACTTGATTAACTGAAACATGGGAACAGATGCATTCTTAACTTCTTTGCATGTTTGACGACAGATTTCCTGCTCATTGTGCTGAAAGATCTTCTTCCCCGTCGACCAGAATTAAAGCTTATTTTAATGAGTGCAACCTTAGATGCTGAACTCTTCTCATCATACTTTGATGGGGTTCCTGTGGTTCAAATCCCAGTGAGTGTCTTGTCTTATGATCCTTGTATTACTGTATACAGCTTATATTGAACTCAAGGACTGTTCAAGATCTTATTTGAATCATATTGTCATCTGTTTAAGAAACCTAGGAATGTTATCATGACATAAAGTATGACATAAAGTTTGATATAATAACACTTGTTACGTGTCACGTGTCACGATCCTGTAACTTCATACTTCACTATCACTTCTAAAATAACAACTGTTAAACATACACACCATGTTCTATCATCCTCTGTGTCTAACAATATGTCAAAGTAGCTTTTTACTTCACTATCACTTTTAAAATACAACTATTAAACATACACACCATATTTTGTCATCCTCTATGTCTAACAATAATGTCAAAGTAGTTTTATTCAATATTTAATGGTATAATTGAAAGCTATTATAAACCAAATAAAAAAATGTTTTGATAATTCCAAATGAAATAATGATAGTTCTTAGTGAAATCTTGACTGATGAGGCCTCCGTTCTTTTATTTTTCTTATCAGTGGTATCCTCAATTATTTTTCTTATCAGTGCTATCCTCACCTTACTTTTTGATCATATTTGTCATATTTTTTAATATAGTTTCCTCATTTCTTCCTTCGGTTTCCATACTCTTTAAAGATCGACTCGAATTTCCTAACATCGTTATTTGTAGTAATCAATTTATTTATTGTTAATTGGTGGATAATCAACTTCTTTTGGATGTATTCTCTTTCTCCACTCTTTTGCTTATTTTGGTTTCAACATTGCGAGAGCTTACTTTTTACTTATTTTTGTTGACAACATGTATAGTTTTGAATCATGTTTATATTTGCTAGAGAGCATACTTTTTATTTATTTTTGTTGACAACATGTATAGTTTTGAATCATGTTTATATTTGCTAGTTCAATCCTTTATAATATTTAGATATCCTTTTCCCTTTAGTAGCATAAGGTATAAAAATATTTGAAAGTGTTCTCAAAGTTATAATTATTTTGAAAAGATTAGTGAACAAATTTTGATTGATTAAAGATACCTATATAACTCTTAGACATAAACAACCGTTGCATTATAAGACATGGGTACACATGCATGATCATTTTTCAGTACTCCTAAAAAATATGAAAAAAAGAAAATTCTAGGCTAAATAAATTATAGAATCGTGTTCCTTTATGTTCATTTTTTAATTAATAATTTTTTCGGCTTTTGAGCAGAACTATTTTTGCATGAATTATATTACAAGTAAGATTGACTATTGATATTAAATTTAAATTAAATCTAATATTTATTTTTGTAAATGACTCTAACTGTGATTATTTTGTGATAACTATAAGTATCTTGAAATTTACTATTTGTTGCGCTTTTGTTATTTTATTTTCTTTTCATAATTATTTTTAATTCATATCTCTCCTATATATAAATACAGAGTTTTCCGAACCTACTGTGAACTTGTGATGTTTCGTAATGTAATGTGTCGATTTATGGTGCTTCGTAAATCTATGTGTCGAATTTCGGTGCTTTGGAGTAGATTTGGACTTTTATCTATATCTATTATCAACTTAAACTAAAAATATATTTTAAACTTAATAAATTTTTTATTTATTATTAATTTTTAATATATGATATATTAAACTAATCATCTTTTGATTATTTTTTATTTGAATTCATATTGCATATATAAAAAGAATTATGTTCAGCTTTATTAATTAAAAATTAAATAATCTAATATATATATATTGGAAAATGATAACAATATTAATTATCAATTAAAGCCTATCACCTCTGTTATATGCGTTAGAAAATTATTATAAATATGAGGAAGAAATCTTGTAGGTAGTGAGTGTCATTTTAAATAAAAAAAAAAATAGTTTTTTTAACAAGTATTTAAAATTTAAATAAGCATTTCTATTTTTTTAAATTTGTAAGTACAAAATTTTTTATTAACACCCGTGTAATAAAGAAAGTAAATGATAGCAAATCCATTTAACTTATATTAGCACACATTATAATACTTATACTAGCATACTATTAATAACTAAACTTAAATTTTACTATGCATAATCTTTTTACTGAATAACACAAAACAACAACAATATTTTTGTGATGGATTATATATTTTTGGTAATAAAATGAAATGTTCTAAATAAAAAATTAACATTATGTATAATGAAAGATAATTTTTTTCTTAAATATTTCATAAAGATATACATGTTCACTAAGTTTTTCCTCTCTAATTTTATTTTATTTTAAAAAATTGAAACAAGAAATTCCTGAATTGGATAATAAATATTTAAAAATTAGATAAGGTACTCTCGTTTTTGAAATGCTCATAATGTCATGTACTTTATTTTCGAAATGCTCATAATGTCATACCATCCTAAAAGAAATATGGTTCAAAAGGGAAGAAAAAAGTTAAAAAATAGATATTATTATCTGTCACAAATTTGTAAATATCTTGTTAAATCTATTTTCTTAAATTGAAATAACTAAGCTGGTAACTAACAACATAATTATTCAAAATAACTGAATAATGTAGTGGAGAAATATTTGAAAAAGAAAATTGGTTTCTTGAATTTTGTTTTCAACTTGTGCAAAAGGTATTTGAAATTAATATGTTTTTCCAAAATTCTATTTATCTCATAAACATGATAAAACAAAAAATTAACATGTATTACCGCAAAGATAAATATCATTTGACTGAGGAAATAGATTTTTTTTAAATTAAGTTTATATCATTTATTTTGGATGATTATATTTTGGCTTCAATCATGTATAAGATATAATACTTGCACATTATTTTTTCACTTTGATTTTATAAAAGAAGACTAATATCTATGGGGATCCAAAAAATACATGATACTAAAAGTGAAATCAAAACAAGTGAAAATGTTAGTGATAAAAGCAAATCATGAAATTAATTTCTTATCTTGTATTATAAACTACATTTAAACTAACCAAATTGATACCTGAATATAACTAAAGTAATTCAAGAAATTAAGTTAATTTCCTTGAAAAATCAAATTGGCAAAAGTAGTTTCTTAAATTATAATTGTTCTTTCAATGTGAAAAATAAGTTAAATAATAAAGAAATATATGATACCAAACATAAGAAAAAAAATAAATTAACCATGTATTAACCATCAATGATAACTTTTACTAATTTTGTATTTATTTTTTGATATTTATAAATTTGTGTAGATAATATTAATATTTTCTCTTATGCATAACAACTCTAAAATCAATTCTTGAATACACAATATAGAAACAAAAAGTAAAATTAAAATTGGGGTTTGAAAACTATTAATATATATTCTAACTCCTTAACCCAAGTAATAAAATTACATTAGTTACCTATTGTCTATAGCGTAGGGAATTTTTAGTCATTCAAAAATTTCAAGAAACCTCTCTTCTTTTTAAGGAAGAGAGTTACAGATATGCTCAGTTGGGAGGGAGATACTGTTTCTACTCCCTGTTTGAGGTATGACGTTTGTGGATAGAATTAGCTGTAATGGAAATGTGTAATATATATTTATCTATGCTGGTGACAAGGTGACTTGAATTGTTGAGCCATTGTGATTTTTAGTTGATGTTCTGAACACAGATTGTGGAAAATGTTATGCATCAACTTTTCCGCAAAATGGAATAAGCACCTTATGTTGTTTTATGTTTGAAATATGCTAACATTTAAACAATCATTTCATGTTTTGATCTAGGGTTTTACCTATCCTGTTCGGATTCATTTCTTGGAAGATATTTTGGAGACAACTGGATATCAGTTGACAACATATAATCAAATCGATGACTATGGTATTGAAAAGTCTTGGAAGATGAGCAAACAAGCATCTAGAAAGAGAAAGAGCCAGATTGCTTCTGCTGTTGAGGTATTTTGTTCTCTGTTTCATTGGTATGCCTTTGATTTTTCTGTCCTTTTGATTATGCAATATCCTTGGAAATTAATCAGGACACACTTACTGCTGCTGACTTTAAGGACCTAACTGCTCAGACAAGGGAGTCTTTGTCTTTCTGGAATCCTGATTGTCTGAATTTTAATCTCATAGAATATCTTCTATGCAAGATATGTGATGATGAAAGACCAGGTGCTGTTTTGATCTTTATGACTGGGTGGGATGACATTACCTCTCTGAGGGATAAGCTTCAAGCTCATTCTGTACTTGGAGATACGAACCGTGTTTTATTATTGGCATGCCATGGCTCTATGGGAAATACGGAACAGGTGATTGAAATGTTACTTGATTATCTATGCCCCATGTACGTACGGTATACTGTATCTCACAATGGATTTTATCAATTGAGTTTCTTACTGTGGTTTTATACTCTGTGCATCTATTGTTGATTAATTTTCTACCATGAATTGGCAGTCATCTTTTTTCTTCCCGCATGCCAGCCTGTATTAATGCTGGTCTATTACAACAATTTATCTTGTATACTCTTCCCATGTTTACATGGTCCATTATGCCGTAGCAATTATTTTTCGCCCTGCAATATATTCTCATAGAAAATGGAATTATTAGAATGAATTGTAATGCGTGTCTGTCCTTCAACCCTTTCTTGTATGATCTTTTGTCGTATGATCTGAATTTATCATTCAATTTACTTCAATGGTCAAGTGTTACCCAAAACCTGGCATGTGTGATTACTTAATGCATATAGATGACTTGTCCTATCAGCTAAATCAGGACTAACTGTGGTGTATTAACCTATTGAAACTGTTCCGGACATTGAAGCGTTGGTGGGCGAAGTTAATAGAGAATAGGGCTACTTGAACCTTCAGCGTAGTTAAACTTCACATCTAGATGTATATGTGCATGAACAACCTACAACAAGTTCCTGCCTGGCACTACCTTTTTTTATTCCATTTATCTTTTCCTTATATTTTATTGATCTTCAATTATTGCAGAAATTAATTTTTGACAAACCTGGAGATGGAATAAGGAAGATCGTTCTAGCCACCAATATTGCTGAAACCAGCATTACTATTGACGATGTAGTTTTTGTTATTGATTGCGGGAAGGCAAAGGAGACATCATATGATGCCTTAAATAACACTCCCTGTCTGCTTCCTTCTTGGATCTCAAAAGTTTCAGCCAAGCAAGTATGTGACATTCACCTTAAGTTTGATTAATATAGACACGAGATTAGTAATAGCCCGTCTTATCTCTCTAACAATCACGGTTCTTCTATGATCTGCATAGTACAATATTCAATTTATTATACTATTTTTTTCTTTCTAATTCGTTGGCGAGTATTTTACTAGTACAGAAGTTCTGAGTTAAGATGTTTAGTTGGTAAACAGAACATACTTACCTACAGGTCAATATAAGCAAAACAAAAGTTTCTGTAGTTAACCTATATATTTTGGTGCCTCACACAATATCCCCGGGGATACAGTTATAGATGAACAAGAAAGTTTTAGTTTTCAAAGGATCATTTATATGAGGTACATGGTTTATGGGCATTTTAGTTATTGTTTTGCTTGTTATTAACTATTATGTCTTTATTTGGTTTCTTCTCATTCTGTTATGGTGCTTGTCGACAGAGAAGAGGAAGGGCTGGACGTGTTCAGGCAGGAGAATGCTACCATCTCTACCCAAGATGTGTATATGATTCTTTTGCAGATTACCAACTACCTGAAATACTAAGGACTCCTCTGCAATCTCTTTGCCTGCAAATCAAGAGTTTGAATCTCGGTGGTATCTCCGAGTTTCTATCTAGGGCATTACAATCACCAGAGTTTCTTGCGGTAATGAGTGACACTTAGATAATGTATCACCATCTTACTATTGATTGCTTACCCGCTGCACAATTTTTACTTTGTCACTCAATACTTGTTTATGTCTAAGGTTTCTTCTGTTTCTGATTGTTTTTGTGGTAGGTTCAAAATGCTATTGAGTATCTAAAGATTATTGGGGCATTAGATGAGAATGAGAATTTGACTGTTTTAGGTAAATTGTTAATATTTTACATATTCTACATTTTATGATGGATGACATTGCTCTCTATAGTACCTATGGCTGATTTTAGTTTTATTTATTATTATTATTATTATTATTATTATTATTATTATTATTATTATTATTATTATTATTATTATTATTATTATTATTATTATTATTTTTATTTTTTCAGGGAGATACTTGACATTGCTTCCAATGGAACCAAAACTTGGGAAAATGCTTCTACTTGGTGTTATATTTAATTGCTTGGACCCAATATTAAGTATTGTCGCTGGTCTAAGCGTCCGTGATCCATTCTTGGCTCCTTTGGATAAAAAAGATGTAAGAAAAGAAAGCATTATTTGATTACATAAATTAATTATACTGTTATTGCCAATCATGATGCATACAGTTCTACCAGCCAATTTGCGACTTTTCGACTATTTTCTTTCCTTTTCTTTCTTTTTGAAAAAAATGATAAGAGGTCTCCTTGAAATTTGACAGTGGACACGTTTTACATGCGCTTATAACATAAGTCTCTACTGCATGTGATAATTCCACTTCAAACTATTCTTCTGCATTTGGCAGTTGCAATCAGAACATTGGGCATATGCTTGTGTTGTTTACTATGAAAAAGTTTGTTCGACAGAGGTCCCTCTTATTCTGCATTATTGGGATACCTTCAGAATTATCAGTGAACTATTTGTTTACCATTATAGCTAGCAGAAGCAGCAAAGGCACAATTTTCACGTGATTACAGCGATCATCTTGCTCTTGTCCGGGCATATGAGGGTTGGAAAGTTGCTGATAAAGATTTTGCTGCTCAAGAATATTGCTGGAAGAATTTTTTGTCTGTACAGTCGATGAAAGCTATTGATTCCCTTCGCGAGGAGTTTTACTCTTTGCTGAAAGATACTGGTCTTGTTGATGGCAACCCAACTATGTACAACGTCTGGAGCTATGATGAGCATCTCCTTCGTGCTATTATTTGTTATGGTTTGTATCCAGGAATTTGCTCTGTTGTGGTGAGTCACTGTTTTATTAGCTGTACACTGGTCATGATATTTGAATAATTACCAATACTACCACAGGTATTTAGAGAAGGCCTGGAACCTATTCAGAATGATATGTAATTTTTTTCTTTTTAATGGGGTGGAATAATAATAATAATAATAATAATTATAATAATAATAATAGTAATAATAATAATAATATGTTATAGAGTTTTAACTGGCTTGCGGTTTCTGTGCTTTGTGGTATAATTTTGGGTTTTTAAACTCATAAATGAAAAACATGATATGCCTTCTTTCTTTGCGCAAATTCTGGAAATTCTAATTGATAGCCATTTTTTAATAGTCATTTGTCAGTAGCCTGCTATGATCAATTT